CCAATACTGATTATTTTAGTAGCACCATTAAACAAATATATACTAAATAGCAGCCATAGGTTGCACCTGATTTTCAAATTAATTTAGAATTTTGCATTAATTCTTTTAAATTTTTCTTCCTTTGGCATTTCTACAAACTACTTATTTAGGGAGATGGAATCATTTAAAGGGACACTCCAGGCACTCAGACCACTTCTGCCCATTGGAGTGGTCTGGGTGCCAACTCCCATCACCCTTAACCCTGCAACTGTACTGCAATAATTCCCTTGCAGGATTAAGTCCTCCTCTAGTGGCTGTCTATCAGACAGTCACTAGAGAGACTTCTGGGTTCTTAAAACACGAAGAGTGTTTAAACGATGCTGGACGTCCTCAATCTATGCATGATTGAAAAATGCTTTCCTATGGGGAGGTCCAATGCGTGCACTTGCGCATTAGGTCTCCCCCACTGGCTGTTGTGGGGGGGGGGGGACATGGGCAGAGCCTGACCCGCCACCGAGGGACATCGGTGCTGGATTTAGGTAAGTCACTGAAGGGGTTTTAACCCTTTCAGCAACATGGGATGGGAGGTTTGTTTTCCTAGCAGTGGAGAGGCCCTTTAAGATTACATAAATATCTTAACCATAACTGAAATTGAGTATTTCTTTGAACAATGGGGAATTCATGGAAATGTGGATTCAAGCAGATATAAGTTGTGCTCAGCAGCCAATTTAAACTCATTTTAGAAAAAGTTTAAAACCTTTATATAGTAATATATAGGATTAGAATATTTTTACAATAATTCATAACTTTCCTGGTCTTGTCTGTGTTGCCATTCCTCTTACATATGTTTATATATCTTATAAATTGGTGCTTAAGGAGGGATACATCCAATAATATACATTCTGACATGGTTTATAAACAAACTACATATGCGATATTTTTTATATTTATTTTTAAGAAATTTCACGTACAAGTCTGTCAGTCTGATCTCAACTATTATTCTTAAAAATCAACAAATTTTAAAAACTAGCTTTAGCAGACTCTACGCAGAATTAGTTTGTTCATTTAAATAAAATGGAATACTAGGCACATAGATCTCAAAATCGTACCCATTTCCTCCAGGTGGGAGTGAGATAGGGTTTTTGGTTTTTTTTGGCAGTTTTCTTTGCAGCATCACATCCAACAATGTCAAGCTATCTCTGTAATTACACGGTTATTTTATAGGAATTTGCTCATTTGAGCACTTTATGCAATTGTTCACTAGCCATATAAAATAGGGCCTAGGCTTTTGTGTCAATTAAGAGTGAATGTCATGTACGTTCCCCATTAAAAAGCTTTGATATATCAATGCACTAGGGTTGTATCAAGTAATGGGATTTAAAAGTGCTAGCAATGTCTGTAATGCACTCCGAAATAACCAGATTTTCCTTTATGTATGTAAAGTAGAGACACACTTAAATTGCCAAAAAATGGATGTTCATGATTCATAACAATTTTTGTGCCTTTACTACTAGAAGCAATTTACTGATCAAATTAAGTTATAGCAACAAATTTGAACTAGTTGAGCACAGTGCCTGACCAGTTTAAAAATACCCTGTAATGTGATGCTTAAACAATTTTTTGAAAGTGATTTTTTTTTCTCTTTTTCTTTTATAAGGGAGTATTTATATTTCCTATTCATCACTGTTACATAAATAGTTCAGACATAACTAATTATTGCAATTTTGTAACACTGTTCCTTATTCTCATTTTTCTTAGTACACACCCCACAAAGGGCTCATTTCCAACCTGGCGATACTTTATATCTGCCAGCAGCTACTCTCTAAAATGCTGTTGTCAAGCAGCGGATGCTTACTTTGTGCCAAATTTAACTGTACCCCCCCAAAAATGCCATTATTTGCCCTTTTGCAAAGAATTTTACGACAATTAAATCAATATGTATCCTATATAAAAAAAAAAAAATACATGTTGGCTTTGGCGAACATGACTTTGCCACAGGCTCCTGAAGGAGCCTCCTGCCTCAGGACTATGGGCCATGCTGAAAGGCTTATAAAAGACTTTGTTTGTGGGATTCCCTTGGACTTTTCGGGAACCGAACCAACCCATGAACTGCAGACCACCTCTTCAATCAGTGTGGGTTCTAGTTGTGCAGCTGGGTGGCCGCCGTTCGCATGTACGAACATGTGGGAACTGTATTGGCGCTCATCTTGTTCGCAATCGCATGGAACTAAAAATTGGACTCAATTACTCCTGTACACCGCTGAACTTTGACGAATACTTCTTCCCCATCCAAGTCAGGAGAGTGCCATTCAGTAGGTTTGTTCGTATGAATCATATCAGCAAACGCTACCTATAAGTTAGAGTGTGTGTTCGGTATTTCTTTCGTATGAAACTCCTGAAAGGGACCGGCCACTACCCCTGAATTCAAGTAACTGTTTTGGGCATAGGACGATGTGTGCGGCCAGTCAGAACTTTCACACGGTGGCGTTTTTGCCTATACTGCATGGATCTGATCGCTATTTGGAGAACTTGGGCGCTCAGATCCAGGCTATCCGGGGATGTATAGACTGTGTATAGGCGGGAAATATTTATTTTTATGTGTTTTCATATTTTGTATTGTTTTGCTATTTCTTGGGCATGTTGTGGGTGTGTTTATGGGTGTTATTTAGGCGTGTAACTGTGCTCAGATTTTGTATAAGTGAGCCATTTGGCTGGAATAAACAGACTACGCCTAGCATTAAGCCTCAGCTTATGCGTGGGAGGGGGAACAGCTATACTGCTATGATCACTGCTATACCTGCTACACTCTCTTGGAGATGTCTTCCCACTGAGATCTGGATCCAGGTTTTGGTTCAGGGTGGGAAGGGACGGCAAGACCCCAGCCAAGCTGCGGTAGCTAAGGGGGGCTACAGTGCTTATGGTGTCCAGTGCGGTGCTTATGGTACTCAGCGACTACTAGTTGCATAGCTACATAGTTACATAGCTGAAAAGAGACTTGCGTCCATCAAGTTCAGCCTTCCTCACATTTGTTTTTTTGCTGTTGATCCAAAAGGCAAAACAACCCAGTTTGAAGCACTTCCAATTTTGCAACAAGCTAGGAAAAAATTCCTTCTTGACCCCAGAATGGCAGTCAGATTTATCCTTGGATCAAGCAGCTATTACCCTACATTGAAAGATTATATCCTTGAATATTCTGTTTTTGCAAGTATGCATCTAGTAGCTGTTTGAAGCGCGATTGGCGGAGGTACGCATTCGGGGTGCCAGGCGGTCCGCCACATTGGCTATGTAAATTTCCCCCCTCGTTCATACTATTGTAAAGCGCTGCAGAATTAGTTGGCGCTCTATAAATACCAATAATATTAATAATGGCATTACATGGAAACCCTAAAGCACATAGAGCATATTAACTGAAAAAGCATTAAATAAATACTTTACCTCCCAGTCATGTACATCCACTCACCCGGTCATATTCATACACACCATAGCCCCCTACCACTATGATATTGCTATCCAGCCACAACTCCCCACACGGTCATACACAAAACTACCTAGCTAGTCAGCTATCCAGTCACAGATCCCATCTAGACACATTAACACCCATGAATTATATAATCTCTGTAATGCAGGTGGTGTATTAAGTTTGTGGAGTTTAAACACAATCTACTCAAAGAATAACACATAGGTGGTATAATTATATAACTATAATCAATGATAGAACATCCTAATTTTTATTTCATATATTATGTACTAATTTTGTAGCCGAATGGAGTCGCATCCTCCAGTTACTACTAAGAAAAGATGTGTTTTTAACTTGAGCTAAAAGCACATTTTTAAGACATGTTAGGTTTGCATTGGCTTTACGCACTTTCAGTATTCCCATGAGTTTACAGTGTCAAAATATATCTGCCATCATTCTAAATGTAGACTAAAACACTTAGAAAAGTTAGATTGTAGAAGTGTGCGCTAAGTGATGATAAGATAGGGTGATCTTTGTATTACACAGGAGTTTTCACTAGAAATAAATTGAAATAACATGATATTTTTTAGCTATTCCCTATTCTGATAATCCCTAAAAAGTCTCACATCATTATTATAATGAAGACATAGCCTGAACCAATGGGATGGAGACCAGAGTGGTACAAGTGAAGCTGTGGTTATAGAGAAATATTGCCTGCAAGGATATTTCCTTTCCATGTACAATAGGCACATTTTACACATTTTTTAAGTACATATAGTTTCTGTATTAATAAAATGTTTCCATTTTTCAAAAGGTTGTACCCTTTGTTTTATAATGCTTCTATTCGTTTCCCCCAGTTATTGGAGAATATTTATTTTATTATAATAAACTCCATTATATTATTATTATTCACAGTTCTAATGTTCACAGTCACCTTGAAAGCAGATTTTACATGGGATAGCAGAGAAACTATATACAAATCAGAATACACCAATTAAAAATTAATGCAGAATGGGGGGTGGGCCCTGCACCACATGGTGGCTGGATGTGCTTTCTGAGAGCTCCAAGCCTGACCACAAAATAAAGCAAAAAAACAACTCTCACCACTCCAATCCACCACCAACTGAGACTTTCCTGGCCCTGAAGCCGGTTGACACACCTTGTAAAGTGTTAACAAAGTGCTCCCCTTTCATTTCTCCGGTGCTTCCAGTGGTGTCTAGTGAAGCTTTCAGGCAGGAGAGATGGCAGTTCTGCGTGTCCACGCAAGGTTGCCCTAGTGACCCAATTCTCCCCCCTTTGGATCGGTGGGGGTCATCCCGGTTCCACACTCACACCAGCGTTGATGTTATGCTGACTAACTGCCACCTATACTACATGGTGGACCACGCCTCTGTCCACAAGATGGCTGACAGCCGCCTACAACAAGGGCGCATACAACAGCCGCCACAGCAAGACCCAAGCAACTATGTTGAGAAATTTCTACAAAAATCAGAAGCACACTTTAACACCTTCTGAGCTAATTTTTTAGCTAAGACAGCGGCGACCCAGATGCAGCCTCTGAGCGATGAACGGAGAAGCGAGCGGCAGAATGATGGAAGGCCTCAAACACAAGCAGCACATACCCACTCTGCTGACCTACCTGGTCCGAAAACCACCAAACAAGCCTCCCTCACTCACCCACCCACCTGGGCAGTCAGCTCTATGTCTTCGGGCCCAACTGGCAGTAACAATCCCTCAGCGGGTGCTCCTCATACGACAAAGACCACAAAAACTTGAGGGAGGCGGCGAACAGGCCTACTACAGAGCAGAGGGAGACAAGCCCTAGGATTGCTAAGCGGGAAGCAGGAGAGGGAGAGGTATGGAACAAGTCAGGAATGCCGCAAAGTTTACCGGTCACCACAACAACCCTCATGTTACTGGGCTGGTGGAGTTACTCTACCCTGAGGGACTATGCTCCAACTAGGTGTCCGCAGCAAGACGCACCTTGGTGAACTGTGCATGCATGGCAGACTAGTACCCAGTCAGAGAATTGTCTGACTCTAGTCCAGCTCACACATGTCCACATAACATGTTCAATTATCTTTTCTCCCCATTGCATAACCTTATGCCTTAAATATACAACACCTCTCATTCCATGGACAGGTCTATCAAGAGCCTAGTCTCCCATTACATAGGGCCACCATGCTCTCATGATATGTGCCCCAGTAGTTTATACATGTTCTTGACACATCAGCACACATCTGGCCATACTCCGAATGTAAATTATCCCTGCTTCAAGCCTAAATGTGATTGACACTTTGAGCACACATACTCCAGTTTTTTCCAACTCTTACCCACGCTTACGCTACGTTTAAGGTTTATGATAAAACCATCTGTTCATGTATTAAACTAACCGAGATGAAATGTACTGATACCTGTTTTCACAAATACCTATATAACTCACTATGTCTCTAATGATAACTAATAAGCGACTCACTTCTGTCTACCTAACCTGTCTTTATAATTTACAAATGAGGCATTGATTATTTTGTTTATTTTTGTTAAAAAAAAATAAAAAATAAAATGTGCAAGTATCTCATGCCATGGCAATGTATTTTCCTGTAAGTTAATGCAATGCTTTAAAAAGTTTTTAAAAAATGAATGCAGAATGAAAAAAAAAATTAATTTCCAGGGGTAAAAAACAAATAATAAATAAACAATCCTGAGCTTTTGTCAATTGCAACCTAAAACTTACAGGAAAACAGAACAACTTGCTTTATAGGTAATGGCCATTCCATAATAAACAAGAGGCAGGACTTTTAAAATCATTGCATGGCAGGAGCTTCCAGTTTCTTTTTTGTATTACTAAGGAAGGCAATAAGTAAAAGAACATTCAAAGCAGTACCTGCCTTTATAATATTATTATATAATCTGATGACAATATAAAAATTGAGAAAATAAAAATAGGATCTAAAAACAAAAGGATTATAAAAGCACTTAAATGACAACTCCACACCTCAAAAGCACTTCAGCTTGCCAACATATGTGCAGCAATGGTGTGTACGCATGTGCATGAGCAGGCGTGCACATACCCACCAGGTCAGATATTGCTGATCAAAAGTATTTTCAAGGGGAAAACAAATGGGAGGGCTTACAAAGGCTGTAGTCATAAGAACTCTTAATATAAACCCCCAATGAATACATGCATGGAAATGCATGCATGTATGCATTGGGGGTATATCTACTAAACAGTGATTTCCCCCTTTTTTTTTTTACTAGGTGACAGTGGAATGCTCTTTTAAATATGAATGGGCATAATCATTAAATACGTAGTTTAGCTACCATAGTGACTACATACCAATGCCATTCAGCTGCATGCACAGTCCCCTGATTCTTGTTCAAATTCTTTTCAAATGATTTGTACACAGCCACATGTCCTCAAAATACCCATGGCCTAGGCCCAGCTTGCAAAATGTGCTTGTTCCTTTAGGCCATTAGCAATATCAACTGCATCCAGATTTTAGCACCATTCATTGACTGATCAGATTACAGCAACTGGGGGCTCAGACCATGACATACCAATTTCACCAAGAACCTGGGGACAGTGTGAGCAACCTATCACTATAACATTTACACTGGCATGCAGTGGTTATGGTGCATATACCTTAAAATAAATTAAGTTATACTGGTTTCTTCACTGGTTACATTTATTCTTATTTAGCAAGTGAAAAGATTATTTCAACTCTTTAGATATTTATCTCTTAATAAAGTTCATAAAGACAAAAATAAACATTTGCTTTTTCAGCTTTAGGATACATTTTATTATGCAATAATCTATTTGCTAGGATAACATTTCTCATGATTTATATTTGTGTATTGCGGCTATCAAAATGTTATGGAATTAAAATAAGATGAAAAAATGCACATAAAAACAAAAAGTTGCACAAAAAAAAAATGCAACTCCTGAAATATTATATCCAAGGATTTCCAAAGTCAATTTCAGAAATTGTATTGAATATGAAGTAGTCATTTTATTTAATAAATAAAATACATGATCGATGTGTTTTTCTTAACCAACCATTTGGGGCAGAAAGTGTGTAAATATTTCAGAAGTACAACCTATTTTATTTAGAAAGATATTTTAGGTAAAGATTAATTGGTTTTAAATCGTTTGGTGATGTCAAGTTTAAAATTTAAACTGCTAGTACAAAAAGTAGAAAAAAAAGTAAAAACGGTTTTCTTTGTTGGCACAGGGTCAGTGTTAATGTTTTAATTACATAATTATTTCCAGATTACTTTATTTTATTAGCTCTTTGAACTAATTCATTTGAGTAATGGTTTCATGAAAGGATATATACAGTTGCAATCTTAATGTTGTATTGATGATGTGTTACTTTCAACCATGTTAACCTAAAGGACAATATCTGGCAAGTGTCTGTGAAGTCTTCTGTGTGTGGTAAAAGAAATGTGTCATTTAGCAACGTCGAGTTATTACTTGCTAAAAGCATTATGCAACTGTATACTTGGCTTTCTTAATGTGAAGCAATAACACATTTAACTACGCACAATTGTGTTTTAAGCTGACAGTTAGGGGCATAATAAATTGATTTCAAGAGATAGAGATTATATATATATATATATATATATATATATATATATAGTGACAGAGTGTTGGGGATGGTGGTCACTCACACACATATACATACAAACACACACACACACACATATATATATACACACATATAGTAACTCACAAAAGGGAGTACACCCCTCACATTTTTATAAATATTTTATTATATCTTTTCATGTGACAACACTGAAGAAATGACACTCTGCTACAATGTAAAGCAGTAAGTGTACAGTCTGTATAACAGTGTAAATTTGCTGTCCCCTCAAAATAACTCAACACACAGCCATTAAGGTCTAAACCGTTGGCAACAAAAGTGAGTACACCCCTAAGTGGAAATGTCCAAATTGGACCCAGTTAGCCATTTTCCCTCCCTGGTGTCATGTGACTTGTTAGTGTTACAAGGTCTCAGGTGTGAATGGGAAGCAGATGTGTTAAATTTGGTGATATCACTCTCACACTCTCTCATACTGGTCACTGGAAGTTCAACATGGCACCTCATGGCAAATAACTCTCTAAGCATCTGAAAAAAAAAAAAAAATGTTGTTCTACATAAAGATGGCCTAGGCTATAAGAAGATTGCCAAGACCCTGAAACTGAGTTGCAGCATGGTGGGCAAGACCTTACAGCGGTTTCACAGGACAGGTTCGACTGAGAACAGGCCTCACCAAAAAGGGGCCAAACATGGATGTCATAATTATTCTTCAGTGTTGTCACACAAAAAGAAAATATTTACAAAAATATGAGGGGTGTACTCACTTTTGTGAGATACTGTATATACATACATACACTGATGGATAATAAATAGTCTGCAGGACTCCTAATAGCAACCATTGCTCACCTTATAATGGGAAGTAGTGCATTCCCATATCTCCCAATATTTGGAAGTATGTAATTGGATGGGTTGGCCAGCATTCTAGTGAAGGAACTCATGTCACTGACAACACCCTCAAGGGGCGGCCTGTCCAGGAAGTGGGCATGCCCGGCCATTTTAAGGGTCGTGTCAGTGTCATGGATGCCGGGCTGACAGACAGACTTCAAGTTAGTCCCCTACTTGCAGGACCCTGCAGAGAGCGCTGATAAAGCTTCCTCTGCAGGATACTAGTGAAAATAGGGAGAGACAGCACTCCACTCAAAATTCGGGTGCAAATTTTTAAGGTCTGCTTCCAATTACCTCACAAACAGTATAAAAAGTAATAAGGAGGGGCAGCACCAAAGTAAATGGCAAAAAAAATGTATTCCACCTGTGTTGAACCGGCAAAGTTTCCACCCAACCTCAGGGTTCTTATCAAAGTCTACGTTGCTGGTTCGGTTCCACACGGGTGGAATACATCTCTTTGCAGTTTACTTTGGTGTTGCTGCTCCTTATTGCTTTTTATGCTGTGCTTCTCTAGGACAGTTCTCCAGGTGTCACCAGATGTGGAACACCAGGGAATTAGATTTAAATTGGTACAGTCCCAGATAAAGTGGGACTGTTTAAGCCCTGCATCCCACCTTTAATGTCTGCTATAATTTGACCATTAAGTGCTGAATCTAAGACTAAATATAACTCTTGGTTGCAGCTCACAAGGTAAACATATTCAAACAAACAACACTGAAAATGAATTTCCCCATTGACTCCCATTAGCCAAGGGGGTTAGTTTGATAAGTAGTCCTTTTTAATCTACCACTTACATTAAGAGGTGAGGGTAATCTCAGATATTTAGGATCTACAAGCCACAAGACAACTTCATCAAACTTTAAATCGAAACTTAAAAGAAATAACCTACATAAGAAAATGCAACCATAGTAAAAAACGAATAACTTAGATGTATAGAAATGGCAAGAATGGCTGTGGGGAGCTGTAACTTCCCCCCTGCAGTTCTACTTTGTACTTTGCTTGATTGGCATTTACAAAGCATTGCTTAAGAACTGGAACATTTACATATTTTGTAGTGTTAAAACATGGAATTAAAATTGATTTATTGGGAGTTTTAACATTTTATTTGCACAACATATGTCAATCTTCGAAGGTGTAATGTATCTTGTATCATGAAGCCCAGTAAATTAAAAAATATAATTATCAGTTGTGAATGTACTGAAACTCCCATTACCACCAAGCCAACACTTGATTGAACCATCCCTGGCTGCTATAGCAGTTTGGAATAGTTTGAAGTCTGTACCAGCAGTGCACATCGGGATCCCGCAATGTTCTCCGTTTCCACATATTTGCAACTGGA